AGTAGTGAAAAATCGAAAAAGAAGTCAATCCAACGTACACAACAGGTGGAGTTCAACACCGAACCATCAGATCAGTAAATTAGACCTTTGAACAAGCTTAACCAAACAACGTCAAACGTATCACTTCAGTTTTAGTAAGTGAAAGATGATTTCATAAAAATTAAATTTAAGCATTATGTTTTAGTATTTTGAAGTTTGATAGTATTTTTCTAAAAAATATCATAGTCATCACAACTTTGAGTTCTTTTCATATCATCATCTAAAGATGTAATTACAGTTATTTCATAAACACATTTCACGTTCATTAGGACACGTGTAAACAATTTTATTTGATTGTTATTTTATAGGAGGGAATTTTCAAAGCTGCGCTACATCGGAGACTCAGTAAGCTTATCCAACTACTTTTGCATCACTAAATTATTTTGTCAAGTTTTCTTTGCTGAACAAATTTTTTGTACCGTAATCTTTGGATGCAGGCTTGTTTAGAACTGCTTAACTATTATTTTAAAATCAAATTGTCGATAGTAATTAGTCGAATGTAGATTTTTTGGCCGACAATTTGAATAGTATGTTTGTGGTATTTCAGTTCTGCGTTTCATCTTATGTCGTTATACCAGTCGACTAAATGGTTCGCATGAACTTGTCGAATACATTTATAAACAACTGCAAAAGCCATATCCTAGATTTAGTTCAGGAAATATAAATTCATCGCGATTTACCTTCGTGACCACGAAATGTGATTCTCCTTTACTCTGCCTTTTTGCAATCCACTCTAGATTATGCTTCAGTATAACAATTGCGATTCGATGTATGTATCTGTTCACGTCCTCTTGCGGCGAAAAGTATTTTTGTTGGATGTCCATCCACCTTTTCTAACATGGCGTGTGAAAGAAAGACGCCGACAAACTCCCTACTTCTGCAACATCTATCTTTCGATGACATTTACAAGAAATCTTTTACCTTGCGGTACAACCTTTACAGGTTCAACTGGTTGGTTTGATAACAAAAATCCAATAGCTTATGTTAATCTTTTTCCAGTAAAAAGAAGCACTGAACATCCATAATTTAAATCTCGTATTGCATAAGATATTGTTAGGTTTTTGTATTTCTTTTGACTCCCTTATTTCAAACTTTTCCAGTTAGGCTTAACAGTACATTTCTTAACCCCCCCCCCACCTTTAGTAGCTATCTATACAGAATCAGTTTATCGATGCTCACATAACATTTTTTGTTTATTACGTGATAAGGCAAAAATCAAAATGGAGACGGAATATAATCAAAAAACACAAAACTAAGAATAGGTTCGTTTAGGGGCGATATTATCGACTTGTTTTACAAACTTGCCTACTGTGTTACAACTGGTATGACTAATAATTCTTTGAATAAATCATCTTTGACTAGGTAATTTTAAAAACTACCGTATATATATTCAGTGAGTTGTAAGTCGACGATTACCTGTATGGCTGTTTAAATTAGATCCTGTAGCATGTGGTTGAAGTAAAGTGCTATCAAAAAGAACATGTAAGCAGAGATAAATCGGTCAACTAATTAGGCACACTGATAAACTCAAATATAAATGATTTTTATCTGTTGCTGTGATGAAATTTTTGTGCATTAGTCCTTTCTATTATTCGACTAGTGCGAAACTATTCTTTCACGCCACATTGACGCAGACTTTCCTGCTTTTGATCTCTGTTACGATGAACTTCTGGTTACAATTTTATTTCAGTGAGAAAAGGCGAACTAATGTTTCAGAGGCAAATGTATGATGTTGAAATATAAGTGTGCAATAAGAATCATTGAGGATCCTCGTGCTACCTTCATGACAATCTATTTTCCTAACAGGATACAATAGGCATAGTTTTAGGATATTCAATGGAATCCCAAAAGCATAGTTGCCGAAAACTTATTTAAATGTTCAAACCCCATGGTTACTAATGTATATCCTTCAGCTAAGCCATTGTGTAGCTTTTGGAGGTTGTAGATTTAAATCTTTCACAATTTTTGATTCATAAATGTACCCCATGTGTCTTATGAATATCGATTTTTTTGTTTCAGATTTTGTAATTGAATACTTGCTCGGATAAAAAACTCGTTCCATAATATATATTTAACTTGCCTAATCAGGCACATACATAGAAAACTATGTTCGCAAATGAAGATATGTTCGATGATGGAGAGCTGTCCGTTGAATATTCGTCAGATGATAACTCTGAACCCAATGTTGATCTGGAAAATCAGTACTACATGGCAAAGTCTCGAAAGGATGATAATCCAGATATGGCACTTTTAGAATTTCAGAAAGTTCTGGATATTGAAGGCACTGGAAATAAAGGTGATTGGGGATTCAGAGCACTGAAGCAGATGATTAAAATAAATTTCAGACTTGGAAGATTTGATAATATGATGGAAAATTATAAAGTGCTTCTTACCTATATAAAGTCGGCTGTAACTCGAAATTATTCCGAGAAGTCCATCAATTCGATTTTAGATTACGTATCAACGTCCAAACAAATGGATTTATTACAGCAGTTTTATATCACTACTCTAGATGCCCTCCGTGAGTCGAAAAACGAGAGATTGTGGTTTAAAACTAACACAAAACTAGGAAAACTTTACTTGGAACGTGGTGATTACATACATTTACAAAAGATTGTTAAGGAGTTACGTGAATCTTGTCAGACAAATGATGGAGAAGACGATCTTAAAAAAGGAACTCAACTGCTAGAAATTTACGCATTAGAAATTCAAATGTATACAGCCCAGAAAAACAACAAAAAACTAAAAGCATTATATGAACAGTCTTTGCATATCAAATCAGCTATCCCACATCCTCTCATAATGGGGATAATACGAGAATGTGGTGGGAAAATGCATCTTCGTGAAGGAGAATATGCAAAATCTCACACTGATTTTTTCGAAGCCTTTAAGAACTATGATGAATCTGGTTGTCAACGTAGAACACATTGTCTGAAATATCTTGTCCTGGCCAGTATGTTGATGAAATCGGGAATTAATCCATTCGATTCACAGGTTTGTGATTCTTCGTTTATTTTGCTTCTTTGGACAATAAAAAAGCAAGGTACTTGATATGGTAACTAACCCTGTACTTCGTAGGCTGTAGGGATACATAATATTCTCAATCTATCTAATTGTGCTTGAAGGTCCAACTCGCACTTCTCTGTGACCTCATTGTCCAGTTATGGCAAACTGAAAATGCTTCATAAGTCCAGAGGAAAAATAGTATATTGTCTGTAAACCAGGTTTATTCTAGATAGTCGGTCCATTTACCATCTGTTCATTCTCCCTCATTTAATTAGGCGACGTCACATTAATCACAAGGTATCAGCCACTTTTGCATATTATGGAGTAACTCATTTGTTAAGTGCAGTTGTTTGAACTCAATATCAAGTCATAGCTATGGTGCAAGCTTTGTAGTACTTCTCGGTTGCATAAACCAAAGCAAGTCAAACGGATTCCGAGTCTGAACCCCAACTGTAGGGATTTGAGCGTCTTGACTACATCAAAGCTGTCCTCAGTTCGCTGAACCAGAGTATGTACTGAGAGTTTTGCTAGAAAGCAATATGGCTGAAGGGTTTGTTGAACACCGAAATCTCCACTGAAGTATCTTAATTATGCTGAATGACAAAATAACCTCCAAATAGTTTCGAAACAATCAGTTCATAAAAGGTTCCTCAAACTAACCATTCCTTTTTATTTTTGGGATGAATGATTAAATGAAGAATGCAGCATTTCAGCAGTGTTGATCTGCTCTTCGAAATCTTCTAATTATATGTATTGTTTCGTTTATTATGTAGTGCCGTCGTATCTCTTAACTCTTCCTTGTTCGACTTTTTCTGCTGTTTATATGATTAAAATACAGTACATCTTGAATTGTTTGAGCTATAAGTTTTTGATAACTACATACATTTTTCTATATACTTCACCCAGATTTCCAACAGCAATACAGAGATATATTTACAATTATTGTAATGTTATGTACATATTTTTCTTAAATATAAATTGCATTTGCTTTGTAGGAAACGAAGCCGTACAAAAATGATCCTCAAATTGTGGCTATGACAAGTCTTGTGACGGCTTATCAGAACAATAATATTGTAGAATTCGAGTCCATTTTACGACATCAACGTGATTCAATTATGGAAGACTCTTTTATTCGCGAACACATTGAAGACTTACTTCGTAACATCAGGACTGAAGTCCTCATTAAATTAATTCGTCCGTATACCCGAATACGCATACCTTTCATTTCACAACAGTTAAATTTAAGCGACCTAGAAGTAGAAAGTCTTCTAGTCGCTTGCATTCTAGATAACACTATACAAGCGCGAATCGACCAAGAGCATCAAATTCTGGTGCTTAGTACAGAAGCTACTTCGGAAGCGCGTTACCAGGCCCTTGACAAGTTAGCTCTACGGTTACGGCATTTACAGACTGCAATGTCCAACAGAGTTCCCATAACTAATTAAAGTTAACAAGCTTTTGAATTTAAAGTGATAACAATAAATCTATGTGACATACAGCATTGGTCCAACTTTGATAGCATTGATATTATCTCGGCCGCTCTCAATAAGTGGCATAAACTTATCATGAATTAATGAATACTTCGTAGGTTCTGATTTATAATTTGTTATTCAAAACTTTCTGCAATTTATTAAATGAGCATTTATTGGGTCATTAAATTTTCTGTGTCAAAGAAGTAAGCACAAATTGTTAGGCTGATTATTAGCTTTGTAGTGGTTTGTATTACACCACATTACTTGCTTACACTGACTCTCCATTAATGTACAATAATTACAAAAATCTTAGGACCCGAAAATAGCCTTTATTAAGTTTTATGTAAAATTTAGTACAACAAATATGCAGGGAATTTACGTTCATCCATCAAGTGATAACAAGTAAAATGTAGACTGTGTGCATACTAAAATTGATGGATAGGGTTTATCTGTAGTAGCAAAGCCAATTATTGGGTCATTAGTTGGTAGGGTAACTACGTGTTGTGATGCCACATGTATAATCTGTTGCTTTCCTGTCGAAGACGAGTCAACTGTAGAACGTCTTCGGAGTTCTGTATCCTTAGAATCATTTGGTAGGGGCTGACAATATATGTATATTCTCCGTGTAGAGTCTGCAACTGCCACAAACTTTAGTGGACATCCATCACATAAAACTGGACTGGAAACAAATCTGCTTTCACGTTTACTTGCAAGGACGTAACCAAATGCTTGCAAAGTTGAGACGTGTCTCCAGATACATGGATCTTCTGCAGACCTTGTATTCTTCAAGCTAGACTGGCACAATGGCAACCAAACTATTCCATCCACATCATGACGAATACAGAAAGCGTGAGTAGCATTCGGTTTCCACGTAGCACAACGGACTTTAAACAACCACTGATGTCCTGATAAATAGACCTAAATTAGAATAATTTGATTGTTAAACAAATTCAACATTTACTTAGTCATATATGAACAAAATACAACTAAAAATAAATACAACAACTAGATTTTGTATCGTGAAACCGAAATGATAACTAGGTATTTGGGTCTTGAACATTTATTTTCATGAGAATTCAACTTATTAGCGGAAACCTGGCTGAAATAGTTTTAAAATAATGCTCTCAAAACACTGACGCTAGATATACGTAATACCAATGCAAATGTTTCCGTTTTTATTCGTAACGAAATAACATCTACGAGATATAAATGTTGAGTCAATTGTCCCAGAAAGTTTGTTTTCAGGAGAAAAAGAAAAACGTTTGGGGTACTTGGGATATCGTTTAAACACAAATCTTGCTTTGGACTTCCGGCACATCTCAACTTAGCCTAATTTTTAGCCCTAAAAACGTTGCGATTACTTGTTACTTAGTGCAAATGGATAATTCAGAAATCTCTGACAAAGGACTTTGAATATGAAATGTCCAACCTACGATACTGCTGAACACTGAGACTTCAAGTCAGAAAAAATAGGGGTAGGTCTCATAAGCTGGTGGTCTACTCAGCTATTGATACTCTTTAAACCGTAAATAGTTATTATCTCTTCCGATGAATTATGAGAGCTTACCGGTTACAACAAAGGGTTTATGAATCAATGCCTTTGTGACGCAGTTACGTTGAAACTGCTAAATGGTGTGGTAAATCTGTTCGAAGAGTGAGTAGGCATTGCAAATTTTGCACAAAAATACTTTAAAACCTAGGATACTGGAGGCCTTTCCCTATGTTGCTTTACCACTACACACCCAGGGAACTGTCACATGAAGTCAGACTGAGATAGCGATTCGCTCAACCAGTATTTTGATGTTTCGAAGGGAATGCTTAACACACATAATTAGATATCAGTTTGAATTTATCATGTTATCACGACCCAAATTATATATATACATACAGATAGTTTTATTTTAGCTGATATATCGACATAATTGAGGTAAATAGAAACTTGTAACTTCAATGGTTGGGAGTTTGATAAGTCTAATAAATCCATGCATACCTGATGAGTACACTTCAGAGTTTCATGGTTAAATCGTTGTAATATAAGATCAATATCATCTTCACTCATTGGAAAATCAACTTCTTCGAGCTGGCCAACATTAAAAGGAGGTTTCGGTGTCAAATCAGCCTTTCCATCTGACTGTACATGATCGTTTGACCCAGTCTGATGTGAATATCGCATCTCGGTTAATGTTTCATTTTCACTTGAATCGAGTAACAGACGGGGCCAATAGTGAGGATTCTGTTTGTTCATGCGTATTTCAATGCTTTAAATAAAAACCACAGTTCGTATTTTTTACTTAACATAAGACATTAATACGGCGCGGCGATTGTGCATCAACCACCTTTATCTGTTGCGTTAAAAATTTACTGTTAGAAGATTTAGTGTCAATAGGACACTGAATAAGTTTTATCGCATTTTAGACAAGTGGATTTTTTAGCTTGGTTTTATTATGATTGATCTTATCGAAAAGCAATTAATTTGATATGGAACCAAACTGATATGTTTTTAAATGAGACTTACTATAAAATACAGTGAAATTCGGATTACCATTTAGTTTCTTAAACTAAGATTCGATATCTACTATAAGTACATTTCAGTGTAACAACTCTAAATTATATAATACCTGATAGGTTTGATGTTCAAAATGTGGAGTCTTGATTTAGAGGAGTTATGATTGTTCGTGGAAATAACAGGTATCAAAGGATTCTTATGTTAATAGTTCCTTGTTTTTTTCATACAATTCTTTGTACGAGTTCGAGCATTAGTGATCCACAGCTCTGTAAATGAGTACAGCTGAATAATTCAAAAGTTGCCACAGAGCAATGGTTTTTTTCACCTACGTAAAAGCCAGTCAGGACTAACCAATGTACCAAGTATCTGATTTATAAGCTCGGCTTCGAGAGTTATTACAACTATCTGACTACCGAAACCAAAATGGACGTAGCAAGATTCGAGCCTATAACACACTGGTTGAAGTCCGAGAACTTTAACCACTAAGCTACCGCTTCAATCGCCTTTTGTTACAATATTAGGTATAAATGTCAGATATATCTTGACGTACCAGTTATTTTTTCGATCATAGGTCCACGAAGAAGTGAGTTGTACCGGTTCGTAAAGGATCTGATCGATCAATGTGATTGGACAGTCACTGACTTTCACAGTTTCTGTGAGTGGAATGTATGAATGCAGGTTTACACGGAGTAACTGATTTTTAGGAGACTCTTCACAAACTGGAATGATAGCTACAGAAACAGCATTCGAATCGTAAGAAGGTGGCAGTGCGATCCCATTTAATGTAAAAGTAATACTGAGCGAACTGGAATTGATATTTTCACCGGCATCAGTTTGTTTCCAAGTGACAGAAAACGTGGCATCTTGTCGAACAAATGCATCTTCTGTATATGTTTGTTTCAACTCAGAACCTATTAAAGACGAAAAAATCACCTATAGTTATTTTCAATTTTGTTAGCTAACTAAGAGATTAGTAAATGTTCACGACTACGGGAAACTACTTAATGTTCAAGAAAATAAACCACATATATAACTTAAGTCTAATCTGAATTACTAGCATCATTAACTTGTTTGGACTTAAACCGTGGTTCAGAGAACCATTTATTTGGTATTCAATTTATAAGGATATTCTTAAAAATTCTATCGCACCTACTTTGATTTGGGCAGATGAAATCTAGTTATTATACATATGAGGTCAAAAGCATAGTACAATAACTAAGTTACTGAGTTTTATTTCTTTAAGACTAGATTAGGTGTGAAAAATAAGACTTTTAGTCCCTATTATTTCTTATTTTTCAAGTAACTTCTTTCTGGTATTTTGAAGGTAGTCAGTCAGTCAGCGACAACGGAAAACTTCGTACGTACACACATCAGCTAAAGTTGAAATAATGCACTAACACAGATAGGTCGAATTGTCAATTCAAATTTCATAGTAGTAAATACATCAAAAGTATTAGCGATAATGGAGAAGATTAGGGTTCGCAGAAATTATTCAAGAAGTATAATTAAGTGAAACAGATTTATAAAGAGAAAGAAGGACATGATAATTCCAGTAGATTAGAATTCGAGAGAAGACAAAGAATAGATGCACAAGTACCGTTGCAAATTGTTTTGAGCAATGTCATTCAAAGTCTCTAAGCATCGGTTAGTGTCGTCTCCCGGACCCCAACCAGGTAGTCTACACCTATTAACATGGCTCATCCCAGTTGTCAGTAACCTCATGGATTTGTGCCACGTTTTGGTTTGGCCGCTAGCTGACCTCCAGTCTATCCCTACATCAGACCGCTCACCGAGGCAGTCGATGATTGGGTATTCAAAATACACGTCACAACCAGCTCAACTGATGACGTTTTACTACTTCATTTATTGACCTGCCATCCTTACCTAGTATCCGTTTCCTAACGACAGCAATGCTTACTAGATTGTCTCAGGATATTCGAGCAATGTTTCGAAGACACCTGCAATCAAAAACCAGTAACCTACGAATATCTTTTACTCTTACTGGCCATGTTTCACACAGCCATGAATTAGGACGGAGCGGACTGTTGCTCATTAGACTCATCCTTTGGTTAGTAGACGGATTTTTCGCCTACACCACAAGTGGCGCAAGTTGGGGAAAGCCAATCGAGCCTTTCCTATCCGCGCTGATATTTCGTCACACACCGGGCCATCAGCACTGATGAGACTCCTAAGATACGTGATGCGGTCAACATGCTCAACCACTTCACTTCGTATCACTAGTTCAGATGCCGATGCAAGACAATCCTGAAGCGAAATTCTGCATTGAGAGAGAGAACCGCATTCTGAAAATGTTGGCATAGTTGCTTAGGGTGTTCAGAAGATTGCATATTTTCAGCTTCTTCACCAAACATAACTACGCCATCGGCATATTCTAAGTCAACATGTGAGTTTCCTAGTAGAAACTATATCTATTATGTATTGGAAATAAAACTTAGTAGTGGGTAACTTTGAAAAGTACCACCATAATAAACAGTACAATATACATTCACAGGAGCATCCAGAAGAACACACCAGATATGAATACATTCAGTAAGTCAGTGTAACAATGTCTAAGTATAAGTTCTTGTATTCACTTTTAAATCGTTTACCAATCCAAGTTTAAAAAGACCAAATTCAGACAAGTGGTCTCTTTTCATTTAGTTATGTTCATAAACATTGTACAATTCGTTAACGTTTAGCCAATGATAAAAATGTAGTGCGATAGGATAAAACATCATTTCATATGGTTAGTACCTGCTGGTTTAGGTGTGTCATCACATTACGCTCTTTTAGTGTTCTTAATGAAATATAAACAAAAGCTACTATTTCAAGTGGTAAACTGAATATGATGTAATATAAGCATATAGAAACTTGTTAACTAAAATTATCTACGAACATGACAAAAGACTTAATAAATCTTGGTTACACTAATAAATGTAGGTCCCAGATTGCTACTTTGTCTATATGATATGGTAGTAATGTTTCTAATACGTGAAATCCAACAATTGTCATGATCAAGTTTCACAGGGATGAGACTGATAGTTAATAAAAATTTCATTTATTATTGCATATTTAAAATATTGGAAGTTCATGAATACATGCACGTTTGAAACATTTCAGTTTGACTGTTATACGTTTTTCATCACTAGGCTTCGCGAAAGCCATCCCCAATTCTATTAAAACTATCTCAGGTATAAAAACAACCGAAATCTTATAATGGTTCACAAAACTTACATTCGCTACGGTAATTTTCACAAACAGATGGATCACATGAGTCGTAAACAGCATGAAATTTCCTTTCCGAGCAAATATGCAGTGCTGAACAATCACCCTCTAAAGCAGCAAACTCAGGAAACGAAGGGGCGACAAATTTTCGATGCCGTATTATAGACCACGATATATTGGATCCTAGAAAATGAAAACAATTAATTAAACGGCTTAAAATTATCCAGGTAAATAATTTTATTACTCAGGAAAAATTGACAATGAAAACGTCGACGAGTAGAGAATATAGATAGCTAGTATTCAGTAAAACGTGACATCGAGATTCAAGTTACGCTTTTTATTGTTTATCGTTCGAAAAGTAGGATAAAAACTGGCTATACTGACATTAACCATAGGAATATTACCATGAATTTCAACTAGAGCTACAGCAGTGTTCGGCCGGAAGCAAATCAAATAACTGTGGTTTGATATTGCTCTATCCATTCTTACGGTTGTGTCCTTCCTATGGATTGATGATTGAAATCTAAGGATGTACATCAAGTGCTTGGTAAGTGTTTGTCACTTTACATTGCTTTTCTAAGTGACTCGCAAGAAGTTGGACGGGTTCACTTGTGAATCTATATCATAATACAGCCTGGTTACCATTTTCTGCTCATATGACCATAACTGTTGAATATCTATAACAGAATTTATGAGAAGTTTTTCAAAGTATCGCCTGTTAGATGCCGATTCGTCAACCCATACTTCACTCATTTAGGTTAAAAAATAACTCTAAAAGTGTTTTCTAATTACAGTTGTTAGGTAGATGAGAGATGCAAGCATACACCGTTGAGAAGCATTTACAAAAAATTTCGTCTTACCGCTTGCAATATTCGAAAATGGATTCCTAATCGAAGCCACTAGTAGAACTAGACTTACTTTTGTTTGTATCGTTAAAATTTGTGTTTAGAACAAAACTGGATATTGACATTAAAACTTGTTCATCTCAAAACAAATTTGATTGGGAAAAAGTGCCACTCAAAAGTTTTCGCTAAAATAATGTGGATTTTAAGCTCTGGATAACATGTATGGTAAATATCAAAATATATACACATACCCGGAGAGTTGTAAGAGATCCATTCAAGATACGTCACGTAAGTTGAGGTTGAGCCGTTTTGCTCAGATTTTTTCGATACACCAGCAAATATACAATCCAAAAAGAGTTGATGAGTATTGTTATCAGAACTAATTACAGAGTCCAACATCTGACAATCTTTCTCATGAATGGGAGGTTGGATGCTGCTAACAACCTGAAAGGATTTAACAGATATAATAGGCTATTGATCTTATGTGTCTTTTCCACATCATAAGAAACCAGACAACACAACTAAGCTAGTCACCTGTATTATATTTGTACACTACGCTGAAGAACTTTATAAACTGATCACAGAGGCAATAATTTATTGCAAAGTAAACACATTTCCAACAAACGTGTGAATAAAAATGTAGCATAGATTGAACGAAGCGTAAAACAAAACAGGAATCTGAATTTTCAGCTTATAAGAAAATTATGATTAACAAGTCAGTATTACCTTTTGAATACACAGCAGCAATAATCAGGGATCGAAGAACGTAGTAGCTGAAATGAGAGTTTATATTCTTTGATCAGTCTCATTACTAACTAGTTATGTCGATTTTACAAAACCAATCTGTAATCATTTATTCAGTAAGCATTCACTAGTTCTTCTCAAAAAACTTTGAAATTAGCAATAAAACAATGATATATATATATATGATATTACAATTAATGAAAGTCAGAATTTCCAACGTATGTATAGTCTTATCGTATAATTATTTATAAGTTTTTATCAGGTATATATATTTCTTTTATCATAAGCTTTCCATTATTTTCACAAATTACGATTTACTGTTTCTGTTGCCAGTTTTTTATCTACTGCCTCCCTTACTTGCAGCCTCTTTTTGACTTATTCATGTTTTTCATTCATGATATGATGTGAAGTATGTCTGTATATAAACCACGTATGTTTGAAATATATGATTTGCATTGTGGGGGCTGGTTACGAACACAACAGGTCATGCAGGGAGAGAATCGTAGATATGATAATCTTAAATGAATTAGATGTTTCCAAATTATTTAACTTATTATTTACTTGGTGTCGATCGGAACAAAACTCTTAATGAATTCATACCATTTAAGAGTATTTTCTCCAGCTTTTAATGTTGAATATTATTCCTTGATCCGGCCTATATTCAGCGAGTACAAGTGATCAGATCTTATTTTGGGACTGAGAAACGAGAAAGTTCATCATCACTTTTTGACTGTGATCACAACGAAATCAGAAATAATCATGTATCTAACCTGAAGTATTACAAATTAGACTTTAATTACGATGCTACAGCCGACTTAAAATAAATCGTGATAATGTTTGCTTAAGTTATTTCAGAGGTTGTAATTATTTCGAAAACCTATTCAGTCTTTTGGATACCCAACGATGGACCCAACTAGACAACATTGCTATCAGCCATCGATGAAGGAGTTCGATAGAAGACTGCCGCTCATTATGGAGCACTTGTTTAGATTCAAACCATGCTCCCGTGAGAGCTCGTATTTGTTTGAAGCTTACTGGACGTAGGAAAGACTCAGCTAGGAATATATTTCAGGAATAACTAGAAAAACAGGCAGCCATTTAAGTGATGCCCACCCTGAGGTAGCTTGGAATGATATCAAAAAAGCTGTGGAAACAGCGGTGATATCTGCTAGTAAGGTAGACCATAATGTTAGAGAGGAGCGGTGGATTTCAATAGCATCTACTGAACTGATAGGTGCTCGGAAACTCATCCCGACTGGCTATGAATACGATGAGGAGCGGAGTCAGATTAGGCGCAGGCTGATGAAAAGCCTACGCGATGATCGCAAACAGTGGTGGGTAGAGAAAGCAAGAGAGATGGAAAAGGCCGCGGCAATAGGTAACGGTAGACAATTATTTAGGCTTATCGAGGAAACCGATATAAGGAATCTTTATGTTAGTGAGACTCTCGGGAAAAGATGCGATTATCATTGATTATTAATCCCGGAGATTGAATCGATGGGCAAAACACTTCAGGGATCAGTTCAACTAGCCTTCAATCGCATTGCAATTATCCACGATCTCTGTTAAACCTGAATGGCAAATAGATGTAAGTTCTCCGACTCTAAACAAAATAGAGAAAGCTATGGAAAATCTAGAACGACGGAGAGGAGCGAGTCCTGACAGGCTAAATCATGAGGTTTTTAAGGATGGTGGTCCAGTTCCAGAAGTTAGATTGACTGAGATCTTAGGCAGAATCTGGGAACTGAATGTAATTCCATCTGACTAGTCTCAATCCCTTATTGTCCCAATTTATAAGAAAGGGTGAAATTCCTATTGTCATAATAACAAAGGAATCAGTTTAACTAATATAGTGTCTCAATTTTTAGCCTCGATAATACTTAGACGCCTAACTAGTGCTCGTGAAGGGTAGGCTCGAGAAAACCAGGCTGGTTTTAGACCTGGAGGTGGATGTACAGACCACATTTTCACACTACGACAGGTCCTGGAACACAGACACACATTTAGGCGTCCCACTATAGTTTTGTTCCTTGACCTTAGAGACGCATTGGACTTTCTTGATTGTGAGGTTCTGTCTTTAAAAGGTGTTCCAAAGAAGTACGTTAATCTTATCTACTCAGGCACTACAGGCCGAGTTAGAGCTTTTGGCAAACTGTCATCGGAATTCTTCACTTCAAGTGGTGTCCGTCACTGACGTCCACGCTCTCCATTCTTGTTTAACTTTGTCATAGATAAGCTTTTCGACCGTAGCTGCTACCTTGACGTGGTGGTCGGGCTTGCCTATCGTGATGACCCAACCGAGCTATACTGGCTGGAACATATGTTCCTGCAGGTCCTACCATGCCAGGCAGGTTCATTGGAGAACGATGAGACTAAAAGCAGCTACTCAAGGTCTGAGGGCGAAGTCGTACTGCTGACTGCAGAGGGGTGTGACAGCAGTAAGGTGTTTCCCTCGGACAACCAGCATCTGGAGCGATGCTGCCTTCTCACAAGGAAGGAAGGGTTAGAAAAGGTCAGCCCTAAAAACGTCACATCTCCCCTACCTAACGGATTTCTGTCTCCTTGAGTAAGGGTGCCCACGAAGGGCCTATAAGAACGGAGCTAATATTCAAAAAACCTTTCATGAAAAGGCCGTGCGTGACCGGCCTCAAGCAGTTGTTCCTTGGACTCTGCGGTCACGCTCCCAGGTCTCCAAGACCAACACTAATCTATCTTCCTTTTCAGGTTCCTCAAGAAACAACCTTCCACGGTGTGGGCAGCCGGGAAGTGACAACCGCCCTCATACCCGTAACAGCACGAGAGACCAATTTGGTCGAAATCAAATCCTTCCTACACCCGCACATACCTCTCTTCTCTCCACAACAAACTCTACTCACATTCCCTTATCTGACTGCACCGCTAAAGCAAACGATGCGAGTTCACGAAACGTCATTCCTGGTCTCTTGAAAACTCGTTCTAGACTACATGTTGGAAAATTTAATGTACGGACATTGTATCAAATAGGGCAACAGGCATCATTAGCTAGGACTTTAGAATCTCGATGTTAGCTGCGTCTCGGAAACGCGCATACAGGATCCTAGTAAAATTATTAATCTGATCTCACCTTGTCAAAATAAAGAAGCAGCTCGATTTACTCTTCGTGTATCCGGTAGCCCTGATGCTGCTTCCAGGGGTCTTGCTGGCGTAGGCATAGCATTGAGTCGTACAGCCGAACAATCTCTCCTTGACTGGATCTCAGTAGATAGTCGCTTGTGAGCTGTCCGACTAAACGGGACAGTAAGTACTCGGAAAGATAGGGACAATCGCCGTTGCCTCTTCATCGTATCTGCCTATGCCCCCACTGACTGCACTTCAGACGAGGTTAAAGATGAGTTTTACAGAAAGCTTTCGGACCTCCTCCAAAAAGCTAGGCGCTCTGATATAGTATTAATAGCTGGTGACTTTAATGCTCAAGTAGGTAGACTAAGTGAAAATGAAAGACACCTAGGTGGATGTTATGGTGTAGCGACTGAGAGAACAGACAATGGTGGCCGTGTTGCAACTATGCTCAGATAACCGCCTATTCTTAGCAAACAATAACTTTAGGCATAAGGAAAAGCATCTGTTGACCTGGCGACCTCCAAAGTCGTCTCAACGTTGGACGCAACTAGATCACATTGCCATCAGCCACCGATGGAGGGGTTCGATAGAAGACTGTCGCTCGTTGTGGGGCACATGTTTAGATTCAGATCATGCCCTAGTGCGAGCGCGTATTTGTTTGAAGCTTACTGGGCGTAGGAAAGACGCCGTAAGAAAGCCTCTTATGGTTTTACTTAATGATAATAAGGCGAAGAATATATTTCAGGAACAACTAGAAAGACAGTTAGGTGACCATTTAAGCGATTCCCATCCGGAAGCAGGTTGGAATGATATCAAAAAGGCTGTGGAAACAGCAGTGATATCTGCTAGTAAGGTTGACCATAAGGCTAGAATGAAGCCGTGGATCTCAGTAGCATCCACCGATCTGATGGATGCCCGAAAACTCATCACACCTGGCTCTGAACATGATGAAGAACGAAGTCAACTTAGGCGCAGACTTATAAAAAGCCTACGTAACGACCGTGAACAGTTTTGGGTGGCGAAAGCAAAAGCGATGGAAAAAGCAACGGCGATAGGCAACAGTAGACAACTTTTCCGACTTATCAAGGAAACTGGTATTAGGAATCCTAGTGTAAGTGAGACTATTTCGGAAAATGACGGGACTATTATTTATTCTCAATCCAGGAGAATGGATCGATGGGCAGAACACTTTAGGGATCAGTTCAACTGGCCTCGAGCCACTCTTCGGTTACCCACGATCTCCAGTCATCCTGAATGGCAAGTCGACCTAAGTCCCCCTAGGTCTTAATGACGTTGAGAAAGCATTAGGAGATCTGAAGCGAGGACGAGCTGCAGGTCCTGATAGACTAAGCCCTGAGATATTTAAGGATGGTGGTCCAGTTTTAACAGCTAGGTTGACTGAGATCTTAGGTAGAATCTGGGAACTCGACACAATCCCATCCGACTGGTCTCAATCATTGATTGTCCCAATCTATAAGAAAGGACAGAAGTCTTCTTGTGACAATCACAGGGGAATAAGTCTAACTAATATAGTATCTAAAATATTGGCCTCGATAAAACTTCAGCGCTTAACGAAAGCTCGTGAAGAGCGAACTCGAGAAAACCAAGCTGGTTTTCGACCTGGACGTGGTTGTATAGACCACATTTTCACACTACGACAGGTCCTGGAAAACAGACATACATTTAGGCGTCCTACAATAGTTGTGTTTCTGGACCTTAAGGCGGCATTTGACTCTGTGGATTGTGAGGTTCTGTGGCAGTGTCTGTCATTGAAAGGTGTACCAAAGAAGTAGATTAACCTTATACAAGCACTCTACTCGAACACCACTGGTCGAGTGAGAGCTTATGGTGAACGGTCACCGGAATTCTTTCCTTCAAGTGGTGTCCGTCAGGGATGTCCACTTTCTCCATTCTTGTATAATTTTATCATAGACATGTTCCTAGAAATAACCTTATCCTCGTCTGAATTTTCAGGAGTAGACCGTCTACCAGGTGGCTCGCTTATCGACTTAGAATATGCCGATGACATTGTCCTACTTGGTGAAGACGCTGACAAAATGCAGAGTCTTCTGACTACCCTAAGCAACAATGCAAGCATGTTCGGGATGTGGTTTTCCCCTTGAAACGCAAAATGTTGCTTCAAGATTGGGTTTCATCGGCACCTGAATTAGTGATAGGGAGTGAAGTAGTCGAACGTGTAGACCACTTCACTTATCTTGGGAGTCTCATCAGTGCCGATGGCCTAGTGACTGACGAAATCTCAGCTCGGATACAGAAGGCTCGATTGGCTTTTGCCAACCTGCGTCACTTATGGCGAAGGCGAGATATCCGTTCGCTGACTAAAGGACGAGTGTACTGTGCAGTAGTTCGCTCCGTCTTACTTTATGGCTGTGAAACATGGCCAGTGAGAGTAGAAGATATTCGTAGGTTACTGGTTTTCGATCATAGGTGTCTTCGAAGCATTGCTCGTATATCGTGGGACACCCGAGTGAGCAACGCTGTTATTAGGAATCGGGTGCTAGGTAAGAATGGCAGTAGTGACACTTCATCAGTTGAGGTGGTTGGGACATGTTCTGCGTATGCCCAACCACCAACTGCCTCGTCGAGTTATGTTTTGCGATGTAGGAGTAGGTTGGAAGAAAACTAGGGGCGGCCAGACGAAAATATGGCACAAATCCATGAAGACACTGGCAACTGGATTAACTCCGGCTGGTAAATGTAGACTACCTGGTTGGGGTCCGCGAGGGGATATTAATCAATGGTTATAGAACTTGAACAACCCGACTCAAGATTGTTTGCGATAGTGCAGGTGCATCCATTCCTTGTGTTCTATGAAATCCCAATCTTCTGAATTCCTCATGATCGTTGTCTCTATTTCGATTGATTCCTCTGGAGTAAACATCTCACATGATATATTTGATCATTGATCTTTTTGATTATGGCAACATGAACTTATGTACATACGTACGAAGTTCTACGTTGTAACTGACTGACTGACTTTTTAATTACTGCTAATACTTGTTTTGCCTCTACTACTATGAGATTTGAATTGACAATTGCGTCTGTGTTAATGTGGTATCGCAACTTAAACTAATCTACGTACGTACGAAGTTCTACGTTGTAATTGACAGACTGACTGAGAATTTTTTGGATTCATCATGTGATTAACATTGGAGCGTTGAAAACCAGTCATACGCAGGGTTACTTTGGTACGAAAAGCAATTAGAGTAAATTATGGAGCTGATTTTTCCACAGCGTGCAAACAGACAGAGCTAACACTAAGTAACGAAAAAGCGAAATTTAAAACTTACACTGAGTAAATCACTATTTTGTTGAATATCTGACTTTAGGAGATAGAGATTACCCGAACCATCATACAACGATACGTAATGTGGCGCAGGAAATTGCAAAGAAACACTGTTAAACTTTTCATGAGATTGCTCACGCCAATCAGGAAGGGTGAAAACCACAGTACCTTGGTTGAAGTTTTGTGGATATTGCGGTATCTTCATTAACACTAACTGAAACGTTAATAATCTGATCAACATTACGAACTTACGGATCCAGACGTATTCATGTAGTAAAAATGACTGGTATCAAATGGATTAACAGATAAACAGTTGATATTATTATATGCCTTGAGGTGTTGTTTGGAAGTAACTTCGTGGAGAGGTTTGTAGTATACTCCATTTTGACTATTTGCCTCATAAATAGGAAGTTTAAGGAGACTGAGTTTGTAAGACTCGAAATTCGGGTCAAGCAGTGAATGATTAGGCCTTAAGCTAACATTCATTATATAGAGCGACGAGCGTCTTATCTTTCGTCAGATTTTTGATTGCTTTGCGGAGAAAAACGCGTTAGGAACAGGGTTCTTGTTTCGATTGATAATATAATCTGAAACAGATGGTAATAGTTGACTGGAATTAAGAGGTAAAAAGTATACAAAGCAAAGAATTTCATGGTATTTACATGATGGAGTGTAACCAGCAGTTAAAACTAGCTCTTATGAAATGGTAAGTTCTAAATAAACTGGTGTGTGTAGGAACAAGTTATTTCGGTTTATATGCTGAGTAGTGTATGATGCCAACAAAGCGTTCGTATGCTTATCTACTACACTTTGTGAAGAACTGGCATAGAACAGTTTGCTTCCCTGGTAACGTAGTAGAGTTTAAGTGGTTAGTGGCACTTAACGAGATCGATTTAGTGTATCTGATATGAGTTTCATTTCTTCTGAATACAAACTGTTGCTTTAAGATTGATTTGCATCAACAGCTGAACTATAAATAAGGATGTGAAGCAGTTGAGCGTATCGATTACTTCACGCGTCTCGGAACTCTCACGAGTCTGATAAGATATCCGTCAAAATCTCAGCATAGAGAAAGCTTTGTTTGACTTTGCCAACTTACGTTACTTGTAGTATACACAAGACATCTATCTGCTGGTTCTCTATTATACTTTACGGCCATGAAACGTGGCTAGGTTACCGATATTTGATCAAAGCACTGTTTGTGTTGGGAATATTGCTAACGAAGGAAATAATGAGTCGGGTCAAAATGAAAAATCCATTGACTAAACAGTAAATTATCATCGACTGAGGGTGTTGGGACATGTATTACGTGGGCCTGACTACAGCTTACCAAAACTTGCGATGATGACCGATGTAAGGGTAGGTTGGAATAGAGCCAAGAGCGGCTCAATCCAAATGTGGAGTCAGTTCATGAAGTTACTGACTACTGAACTAAGCCGTGTAGTAAGATGTGGATCACCTAATGGAATTTGCGCTATTATAATAGTCGATGGTTAAATTTTGGACAACTTGCTACATGATAGTTCAGAATGACTTAGTTGAATCCATTTATAATATTACCCTAGACCGTAAGTGCTTGAATAATACTATAGCCTACATATTATCATTATTACTACATGAACATACATTTTCTTGAATCTTTAGTGCCTAGTCCTTCCTATGAATACTAATACTGTTATAACTACTATTAATCTGAAATTTTTGAAATTCATCTCATTCCGCTAAAGTTTAGGAATTCGGACCAACGCTTATAAGCTTAAAGTTTGACGGTGTGTTTGAATCAGTTCACTACTATTTAAAACAAGTGCGGTTAGAAGTTTAGTAAAATGAAGTTAGGGTATGTACAGTATCAATACGATCTTATGACCTTACATTCTATAGATAGTGCCTGACTGAGAAAAAAAGCCTTGTCAAAAAAACCATTATATTACTTCAAATATAAATACTTAGGCTGAGTCTAAAACAGGAGCCAGACTTATCACAAAAGAAGTGTTGTTAAAGACAGTTTATAACCAGCATTGTATAGTCAGATAAACGGCTACCAATTCGTCCAGAGGAGAATGTCTGATGTTGAAATGAAAACCGGCCGATTATTTTCCGAGGGATAAAAAAGTTAACAAATTAATCGCAAGAATATGATAAGCTAAGAGATACTACAGGAAGTCGTGACTTAAGCAATACGAGCACCAAGCCTTACATAAGCGTTGTATAGAAGGAAGATGCGTAAAAATAGATACTAGTAGCTTGAAGGTCTTCAAGGTACAGGGAATTCAGTATAACACTGATGATAAGTGAGAGATCGTTTATAGGTGAAATAAGTGACTTATATGAAGGAGTTTCAGAGGTGCTCCGGACAGATTGCTCAAACATTTAAAAAAGCTTGTTTCAGAAGAGTGGTAATATCAAATGGCTAACACCAAGAATTGTTTTGAATCATAGGCAATGCGCATTTGTTGCTAGATGTGACCAACTAGAAGTTTATTATTGGTAGACTATCTAGCACGTGCTAGTCATATCGTAATAATATGGTATAACGTAACAATTTACAAAAGATATCCACCAACAAGCATTATTTATGTTGTGATGTTAGACATTAATTTCAGCAGAAGAGAAAGAAAAGAAAGTAGTCAGTTCTCAATAACTTAACACCTGTTCATGACCTTGCTATACTTACTACTTTCAAAGGTATAACATGACCTCGATACAATATCCAATATCTTTTACATGAGCTAGTGTAAACCAATTTGATTTCTTCGCACTCGATTCTTGTTCTTTCAGTACGGTTCCAGGTGTTCGGTAATTTCCAATGGATGGAGGTCTAGTCACTCGACTATCTAATTCTAGTCAGTAGGCAGCTGGTTTTGAGTTTGTATGTCTCGGGAATTGAATAAAAACGTTTGTTTCAGATCTGTGGCGTTTCTGGATACCAGCAGCTATCACATTACCAGACCGGATATAGGTCATTTGCAATGTGGAGAATAATAAGGAGAAAGTTCTAATGCTAATAAGGAGAAGGTTTCAGAACGAATTAAATAAATAGATTATTTAGTTTATTAATCGGTAGTGAAGAGTGTGCATGATGACTGAACTGTAAGCACTGGGGAAGAAATCGAGATTATAAGCGAGATGGATTCGGTTGTTGATCTGAGGAGATGGCAATAGTAACAACTAGCAGGTCTCGAGACATGCATCAGATACAGCTTGTCCACGAGGGAGGTGACAATACACATTTTAGCACGTGTTTATCACGTCTCTTCTTTAAGCTGTCCACTGTGGGGGATATAGTCACCTCTGCTGGAAGAGCGTTCCAGTTTGCGACGACTCTGAAAAAGAAAAGGTGTGCAGGAACTTGAGTATTCGCTCTTTGATGAGCAATTTGTTGAGTATTTCCTAGAGGGGAGTGGTGTTGAGACGGTTAGGCGTGCTTTATATATAGAACGTCATAATCAGATCACCTCTAATCCTCCTGTAACTCAGTGGGAATAATCTCAAGTGCTGGAGTCGATCTTCGTAAGGTTTATTCTTCAACCATATAAACTATTTCGTTTCTCGTATCTGCACTCGATCCAAGAGATTTACGCATCTTTTAAACAGGCGGAGTGCGACGACGTTGTAAATGTAGAATCTATTTTGAATGTTTTGTTTCTAGGAAAATCCCTCCATGTATATATATTTGTGTTATGATATGATTGACTCTTTCTGTTGACATTTTGGTACTCTATTTGATTCCATTTTGAGATTTTATCATTGTATATTGTTACCATTTCTATATCTTGTACTTATATTGAAGTTCTTATGTTTGCTTCTGAACTGTACATATGTTGTTTAAATTTGATATATAAAATGGCTACAGCCATATTTGGATTTGATATTTCAACAGTACGGACTGGAGGCACTTATCCTTCCAGAAACGGATACCCACCGCTGTAAATTGGAAATAGAAGGTGTAATATTGTTTGATAATTGTCTGTATTTCCATTTTATTGAATTATAGAACCTTTTTCTCCCAGAATTATTGTGTTTTGGTTTCGGATCCGGGGGGAGCGCGTACCAAACTGCACCTATTCGAAGCGGAGTGAACTGTTTGAGTCGAAAATTCATTTACAGGGAACCTCCAATTGTGGGCGCACGCATATGTCTTAAATAACGTTAAGAATAACTGTGGGATAATAGCACCAAGTTGTCTTCACAGAAACTGAAGTGTAGCATGTGCTTTGGTTGAGTCCCCTATATAGTTTGGACTCGTGTGGAAGCTCTTTGTGGCTATTAAACCGAGACCGCGCTCTGAGGAGACATCGGGGGGCGGACTACAATTGACGTTGTAAATCATTTGCGTCATATGGTGCAGAATATACATGATGAGACACTTCGGTCGGTTGTATTTAAAAAACCGTTTTTCATGGCCCATTCTTCAATAGATGTAAGGTCGTTTTGAAGCTCAGCGGAATCCTCTTCGCTTCTAATGGACCACCAGATCTTCGCATCGTCGGTGTGGATCAGTGCCGATGAGCTAAATGAACCTAACATGTCGTTAATAGATGTCAGGGTAAGTGGACGGAAGATGGTCCCTTGTGAAACTCCCGATGTTGAGACTCGCCAACTAGCATGCACTCTATTAAACTTGGTACGAAACTTTCGATTTTCAAGGCAGTTTCTGAGCCAAATACGATAAGCTCAGTGAAGCCCATTTCCGCAAATTTTGCGATTAGGCGTGCGTGGGGTACTGTTTCGAAAGCTTTTGCAAAGTCGAGAAATATTACGCGTGTAGTGCCTCCACATATATTCGGGTTCACTTACATTTAATTTGGTTAAGCCCTTTAGATTAATTTATTTAGCCAAGCCATTTATATAGCAGCAATTTATATGTACCATTAGTTCTTATTATTGTCTGGTTTGTATGAACTCACGTGACTTGTCCCCGTTGTCCTTTGACCTTGTCAACCATTCGTCGCTTTTATTCATGTGTGTGTTACGTCCAATTTTTTGCTTTTTGCTCCTTAGAAGTACGGTGTGTCTATTTACAATTCACGAACCTTAATCAAAGCAAAACTAAATTCCAAAGTAGGTACCAAAGTTTATTCTTCATTCACAATAATCGACTAAAATGTCGTTCGTTTATTACAAATAGACGACCAATGTCATTCTAACAACAGTAATTATAATAACTACCATTACCTTCAATTTTGTAGGTTCCTAGAACAAAAACTGCAGACGAACAAACCAAGACAAACAGGATCCAAAAATGGCCGAAAATAATAATTCAAACAAGTCCGTAAGTTAAGTAAAACAAATATACCCAAAAAACACAGTGAAATTAATGATATTTATATAAAGGTTTTAATCAGCCAAATGTCTTCATTTCTCCCGTAACAGTGTGTGCATGTCTTTTTCGCTTACTAAATGTCTGTCTTATTTTCGTCTGATTATAAATTTTCAGTCATGCTTTATGGCCGGGAGTTGGCTCACTAGCCCTCTCCACATCGATTCATCCGTTCATTCACCCATTCACTCACTTGCTTGCTTTCCAGCGCTCACATGACGATTTTATCTTTTAGCGCTTGTAGTCTGCTGTTCTATTTGTGGTGTGC